TTAAGGGGCCAAATATTAGGTGATAACTTTAATAAAAAACTCACTTAAATATTAATTATGTAAGGAGGACTTTGTGTTGAGCATGATGATGCCAATATAAAATTTGGCGATAAAAAATGACAGTAATGGCATCATTTAAGATTTTTTTTTTAATCTTTGGTTGGTAGATATCAAAGAATGTGATTGGCACTGCTAAGGATTCTTGACAAAAGCAAGGCAGCATTAGTTTTTTTATGACCTCAAGTAACTTGAGGCTACATTGTTTGTAGGGGTGTTAATTCGGGTCAACGGGTCGGGTTCAGGTCGAATCCGGAACTGACCCGGCACTATTCGGGTAAACCTGAACCTAACCCGTTTTTAAAAACGGGTCAGGTTTCAGGACCCGAACCCGACCCAATTCGGGTCCAGGTCAACCCGACCCGACACGAATGACCCGAGGTTGATCCAAAATTGTTAGTTTTCGGGTCAAAAATCGGGTCAATCTTCAATTTTCGGGTCAAAACAGGTAAAAATTGATCAATCTCGGGTTTTCGGGTCAAATATGAGTTTTCGTGTCACTTTCAGGTCAATTTCGGGTTGCTGGGTCAACCCGAACCTGACCCGGTTTTTAAAACGGGTTGATTTATTGAACACGAACCCGACCCGTTTCGGGTTCGGGTTGACCCGAACCCGGATTTTTCCGGGTCAGATTCGGTTCGTGTCAAAAATTGACACCCCTAATTGTTTGGATGCCTAGCTAGGTTTTGATTCCAAATTGTTTTGTATTTAAAATCATTACATGCTAGAAAATTTACGGTAACAAATTAAAATAAGAGAGTTTTGAGTCCTAATTTTATATGAAGATCTAACATATAAATATATATATAAAGAAGAAATAAATGTATAGAGTACATTAGAGCTTTATCATGAAAATTTTGAAAAGGAGAAAAAATAGAAGGCCTAGCCCAAGTGAAATAATTCGGCAATGTGAGCGTTAATGTTGTTAAAACACGTTGATTCAAATGAGAATATAAATTATGTCAAAATATTATAATACAAATTGTATTAGAACAGACTTAAAAATGGTTGATTTTACTTTTAGCTTAATGCAATACAAAATACTCATAAAAATAGCACTAATCTCAAAGTAAATCCAATAATGCAAGTATATATTTGTTGTGTCCTAAAATATTCATGGCGATAAAGAGATATAGAGTTCAGCAACTCAAATTAAAAAAAAAAAAAAAAAAAAAAAAAAAAAAAAAATTTTTCCCAATAAAAAAAAAAAAAAAAACATCAAATGATTGTTCCCATCTCTAATTCTTAACATTTAATTCAAGCTCAATATCTTATTTAACTTATTGAGTTGAACATATTAGTTTGTTTTCATCTCTATGGGATAATATACAAATAGTGTCAATTCGGGTCGACAAGTCGGACCTGACATGACCCCAACCCCCAAACTTGACCCGGCAAAATTGACCCGGCACTAGTTGACATGACCCAAACCCCACCCATTTTTACAAATGGGTCAACAAATGTAACTCGGACCTGACCCGTTGGGTTGCCGGGTTAACACGACCCGACAAAAAAAAAAAAAAAAAGACAAAAAAAAAAAAACAAGATGTGCCACTAGCAAGCTGTGTGGAATGCGTGAGACGTCAACAAGACTAGACGACCATATAGACAATGCGGCTAAGCGACTTGATGTCTTGACCAGATGCAGCGGCGGCCAACGAGACTCGCATCTACGGCGGGAAAGTGGGCCGCAATACTTACGCACGCATTCGCTCACTCATCTGGGTACCGTAGTGCGGGTCTGGCTGTTTGGCGAGCAGCGGCCATGGGACGTCGCCGACCAACAACTCGACCAGACACTACGACGTCGGCAAGCACAATATTCTTGGGTCAAACCCGTGTTGGTTTTAGGTTTTCGGGTCAACCCGAACCTGATCCGGTTTTACAAACATGTTGAAAATCATAACCTGAACTCAACCTGTTTCTCAAAATAGTTTACCGTAATCCGAAATTTTTGGGCTGTGCCTTATCAGATTTTTGGGTCGTGTCAAATATTGACACCCATAGATATAAAGATCTATTAAGAATAAATTTTAAAGCAAATCAACTTAAAAAAAAAAAGGAACATGGTATTACTTATTAGTCCCTCCCTCATTAAATCCAACCGGCCATGCTTCTCCCTCATTTTTCTTGGTCAAAAATGGGAACACGGCATTTCAACATCACCTATCGCAATTTGCATGATATTATATCATTGGATCATATTGAGGGTGACATATGGCACATGATTAAATGACCATTTCTAATAAATATATTCATTAGATACAATGAATTTGATACAATTATATTGATATTTTTTATTGCATATAGAAATATTGTCATTAAGGTCGCGTTGATTTTTGCTAGGGCTGCTTTTATTTGGCGTAAAATAGTGAGGAGTCGTGTCGTGAAATGAGAGATGAAGAGAATTTCATCATTAACATAAAATACGTAGTTTTAGGAAAATATTAAAATAATTCCAAAAAAAAAAAATTAAAATGAATTTTAAATTATAAATGTTATAAGATAAAAAATAAAAAATCAATAGTCAGGCCTTGATTACACCGATGTTTAAGGGATTGTTTGGTTGACTGAAAAATGAATGCAGTGCAAAAGAAATGCAGTGTAAGTGGAGTATTTTGAAGTTATTTCGATGATCATGAAGGGAATGCATGATATTATTATTTTTGTTTGGTTTGAAGTGAAATAAATGCAATGTAAAGTATAAAAAATAGTGGTCGATGGCCGACGACGGTGGTGGATGGCGGCAGTGGTCGCCGGTGGCTGGCGATGGTCGGAGGCGGGCAACAGTGGAGGTGGGCCCGATAGTGGCAATGGCGGGGAGTTTCCGATGTATTTGAAAATTGTCCAAATCGGAGGAATTCCAAATACATTGAATTTGAACTAGTGGGTGAATTACTTTTTCTTCAAAATTTTACTCTGCATTTTTTTGCTTCAAACCAAAACAATATTTTCAAAACTCTTGCATTTGAAATACTTTCCGCCCCTTTTACATCAAACCAACCAACTCCTAAAAAGAGATTGAGAAAGTTGTAGTTGAATAATTATTTTATAATTCAATATTAAAGCAACTTATAAGGAATATATGTTATTTTTATTAACATTAAAAAATAAATATTAAAAATACTAAAAATGCTTTAATATTTCTTAATTAAAATACAATGTTTTTTTTTGTAACAATAAGATGCAAAATGAATCAAACGAGCCCTAATAATTCTCTTGATTGCGTGAAAAGAAAAATGACAATCATAAAATCAATATTTTAATTTAGAGTTTTTAACCAATAGTTAACTCTCATCGTTAATTTTAAATTATAATAAATGAAGTAATTCTAATATAAATGGTAAGAATCCGAAATTTCAGCCATGCAAACTCAATAAAAAAACTAAGTATTTACTTCATCATTTTATAAAGTTTTTTTTTTTTCATCATTTTATAAAGTTGTTATAGAGAAAGTAAATTCAATACTATGATTACGAAAAAAAATTTTCACAACTGAATTTTCTAAAAAGAATTAAGAAAGCACTCTCCAAATAAAATTATAATTGATGTCTAAAAAATAAAACAATCATAAACTATTTTAAATTGGGATCACCAAAAAGAAATACAAAAAACTAGGGGTGTCAATTTCGGGTCACGGGTTGGGTTCAGCTCGAACCTGAACTGACCCGGGTGCAAACGGGTCGACCCTAATCAGACCTGAGTAGATAAACGGGTCGGAAATCCGAACCCGGACCCAACCCGGCGGGTTGCCGGGTTGACCCGACCCGACCGGTTTTGGGTTCTGCCGGCGCCGGAACCGCGGCGGGCAGACGGCGGGGGAGGACGCGAGAGGGGAAGTAGTGCGGGCGGGTGCGGGACGCGCGCTGGGCAGCGCAGCAGCGGGCGCGGGTGCGCTGGTGCTTCATTGACAGCCCTAATATATATATATATATATATATATATATACACACACACACATATTAAGGTAACCTAATCACATGATATAAGATAAATGGTCATATCTGTCATTTCCTTTAATAGCAATCGATTATGATAACATCTTGGAAAAAAATTGGTAAATTGCAAGCATACCAAACATTATTAAAGAATTGGGTGCATATTTGCAATTACATTTTTGTTATGGTTCCTCTTAAAAATCCCTAACATTTAATTCATCAACATTTTTCCATTCTCAGTCGCATTGTCACGGGCACAAACAATTTGTAAACAAAACAAGGAACAAGGCTGTAAATATCAACTTTCCTTAGTCTCCATATTGCCTAAAAATCAATGCATTTCTTACACCTTCCAAATTTACTCATTTAATAGCTTTTAATTGTTTTGGCTGAGAATCATTCACAATTGCCCAAAATTTCAATTTCCAATCAATGCTCGATGAATTCATTTTATTGTAGAAAAAAAAGGTAGATTTTATATAATGAGCGAGTTAGGTTGAATTGGGTTTAAATTACATTAAGCTTCGTTTAAGACGGCTTTCTTACTGCTTCTTAAAACAGCTTTTAAATTTTTGTATTAAAAAAATTTTTTAAGTAGTAAGAAAACTGTCTCAAACAAAGTCTAATATTTTATTTGGGACGACTTTCTTTATGCTTTTTAAAACACATGTCTAGTAGAAAAAAAAATTATTTTTTTGTAAAAATGCTTTAAGAAGCAGTAAAAAAGTCATCACAAACGACTTTTTTAAATTAAAGTTTATAATTCATTATAATTATATACACATGATTTTGATTTAAGAGCTTCAAAGAGGGCTTATAAAATTTTCAGCTGACTTGTTAAATGAAATAAGAAACTTAGGTAAAAACTTGATAATGATAACATTTTTTAATTATTAAATTTATTTTCAAATATAATTAATATAAATTTAATTTAATTAATTATTATTTATACTGATCTTATAACGAATTCAATGATATATTTAAATTGTAAGCTTTTCCAGCCGCCGCTCACCTACCGTCTCGGCGGTTGGAATCGGATCAAGCGTCTGAGACTTCTTTGGCCGAATAATCGGCGATTCCCACCATGTTTGGGCGGCGCAGTAGACCCGCTGAATCAGAAGCGGCTGTACCGCGATTTTTCTTCGCCAGTATAGAAATACGATTTCAAAAATAAAGACGCGGTGGATGCCTTCCCCCGTAAATAACAGTCTCGCGTGTCGTCTTGTCGATTTCTGCCTTCCTTTTTACAATTTGGGGGCGCGCGCTGCCGCTGCAGCGAGTCCTAGGGTTTTCGAACCGGGCCAAGGCCCGCCATGGCTTCCAAGGTCTCTTCCGCAGTCTCCGCCGGCAAATCGGAGCCCCCAGCTGCTGTCCAGGTGCGGATTGCTTGACTCATTCTTTTCGCTGAGAGACGGGTTGGGCTCGGCTAATTTTGGTTCTTGTCGGAATGTGGGTTGGATTATGCGAGATCTTCGTTAGTTTTGACTGAATGTTAGCTGCATTGCTTTTTTGCGAAGTGTGGTTGGTTATTGGATCGTTGGGGTTGAACTTTCGTTTTCGTGTTGGTTGAATTTGAATTTTTAGCTCTAGATCTATTTCTGAAGGGAGATTAAGGAGTTCTTCAAATGGAAGTAAACGGAGGTTTGCTGCACCCGTGATTTTCTGCTGGTCAGGATTCGGATGCTAATGACTTATATTTCTCAGGATAGGAGAAAAGAGGAGAAGGATTTTTTGTTTTGTTTGCTAACTGGATTTGCAAAACTAATAGGATTTTTTTTAATAAATTGAAAAGGATGCTTTTGAATGTATGTCTTGTTTCTTTAACTACTTTTCAAAATTTTAATAGGTAGAAGTTTTTTTTCTTTTGAAAAACCTCTTCCTCTTTTCTTTTTTGGTTAAGTCCTTTACTTTTGATATTACATCATGTTGTGAAGCTACTATACGTTTTAGATGGATTCCTTAACTTCTTGATACTATGATGAAAAAGCTACATTAGGGTTTATACCACCACTTAAGGGTACTAGCCATTTCAAAATATCCAGTCGTGCGGGTTCTGAGCACAATTCTTTTACTCAATTTCAGAATGAAGTGCAACCTCACTTCCTGTTCAGGGAGACCTGTCAGTTGCAATTAATTAATGCAGTTTTGCTACGACTACACAAATAATAGAAACTCCAATATTGTACTCCTCACTTATGTCCTATGTAGCAGCTGGTGTATAGTTTTATAACGCATAAGCTGTATGCTTCTTACATTTATGACAACAAATTTTGTTTCTCTACAAAAGCAGATTGATGGAGTGAAGGAAGGGGTGCCTACTACTCGTGACATTCTTTCTGTTATTGATTCCTTGAAGAAACAAGTTGTTTCTGATCGTTGCATCCTCATCAAGGTTTTCTACTTGTAAAAACTGTCTTCTTTAGGCCAAACTTTGTATTACTATTCCTTATGTTTAGTTTTTTTTTTTTTTTCAAAATTTTGTTTTTTTACATGATGCGTAAACCTGTTGTGTTGAATATTTTTAGAAAAGAATTGAAGAGAACAAACAGAAACTAAGTGGCATTACACAGCATATCTACAATATGTCAAAGTTCAGGAGAAACAATACAGCTGAAAGTAGTGATGCTGGTGTGGATTTGCTTACAAGAAGGCAAAATGATGCACTTTGCATGCTAAATAACCTTGACATCTCCTGTACAGATAAAGATAGCAGTGGTTACCAAGAAGAAAGTTCCCATACACCATCAGCTATTCTTTTTGGTCAAAACTTTGGTGGAAAGAATTCAATCCGTCCTATCAAACTAGCTGAAATGCCAAAGCTACCTCCATACACTACATGGATTTTCTTGGACAGGTACTAAATATGCTCAACCTCAAGCTATTTTACGGCTTCACAATCAGCGAATGCAGTTGTTGTTTATAGATATTTATGCATTGTTTGGCTTATGTACCGCCCACCTATGATACACATAAGCAAGTTAAAAGGTATCGATCAGTTAATTATAAGCATCCATCAATCTCACAGAATTATATTGGGTGGATTTTATGAACTCATAATTATCAAGCGATTTACTTCTGTCAGCTTTATCATATAGATTTATTGGTTTAAAAGCAATAAAAATTTCAAATTTGTTTATAGAATTTTACATCTGGCATTAATTTTTAATTGCCTGTTAGGACTAGCTGCAGTAACTTTTTGATGTTGAGTCCACTGACTTATCCTCTATTATCTGGCTAAATTTACCATATTTCTGAGCTTTTGAAATTCTTTATGCAGAAATCAGAGAATGGCAGAGGATCAATCCGTTGTTGGCCGTAGAAGAATATATTATGATCAAAGCTGTGGTGAAGCTTTAATTTGCAGTGATAGTGAAGAAGATATAGTTGATGAGGAAGATGATAAGAAAGCGTTTGTAAATATTGAAGATTATATTCTTAGGTAGGTAAAGTATGAAATCTCTAAATCGAGGATTGAAATTTTCATCAAACTTCATTCTCAGCGATCCCTTATCTTGCAACGGAACTCTTACAAGGCCTTATTACTTAGCACTAGTTACTGCATATTTATGTTGCTAGTTATGCCTTTTCATTGCAATAATGCGTTGACTTTTCTAGGATTGCACTTAATGAATTAGGCAACTTTCTTACTATTTAAATCATTAATCTTTATTTATTTGACATAGTTTTCAGCTTTAGAGACTGTTCCGGGAATATTGTGTTGACAAACCTTGTTAGCAAAAGTTGAATGGAACCTAAGTAGAATTTCCATTTGAGGTTTTTACTTGATGAAATGTTTATTTATGAGAAGGATAAATATATTGTTAGGAAGGCCTTTTCTTCACCCCAGTGGTTTCAGTGACCAAATTGTTATTCCTCTCAGGATGTTTAGTAGCCATTTTTTAAGATAAAAGCCAAGGCATCTAAGTAAACTCTTTGAAATCAAGCAAGAGGTGATCTTTGCCATTTATTATTCATTTTTAATCTTAACAATTAAATGCAATTCATTGAACCTAACCATTCAATTGAAAATGTATCTAAACCAAAATTTCTAGTCTGAGGCAAGAGTTTTGATCATCTAGTTTAAAATGTTATAAATAATTAATTGTGTTATAATGTTGCTATCAAATGGAAAAGATCTTATAAAAAAATTCCATTAAAATTCAAAACTTGAGCTGGCAAAATTCAACTCATTGATCGCAACCATAAGTTTAACTATTTGTTTAACAAAATTAACGATATTTGCAACACTATTAAATTTATAATTTATATTTTAGAACTATATAAAATATGGTATATTTATATGACCTTTTTAATTTTTCTTATTTGGCATAAATGAAAAGGTTGGAGTTGCTCCATTAGAAGATAAGATTAGAGAGAGTCGCCTTAGATGGTTTGGTCACATAAAACGGCGGCCTTCCGATGACCCGGTTAGGAGAGTAAAGGTATTATATTTGACTTATGGTAAGAAAGGTAGGGGTAGACCTAAAAAGACTTGGTTAGAAAATATTAGGAATGACCTTTCTTTATTAGATTTAAACGAGAATTTAACTTTTAATAGGACACAATGGAGAAAAAGGATTCATGTAGCCGACCCCACGTAGTGGGATAAAGGCTTGTTGTTGTTGTTTGGCATAAATGAAACGAAAATATGTGGTATCTATAGCAGTTGGCACACACCTTGAAAGTGATTTTTTAGTATGAGTGTTTCAATTAAGAAAAATCGATGAAAAACTGCATTTCCAAATTCTATAGTACATAATATCTTAAGATCATATTGCAATCATTTATTATTTTTTATTTTAATAAGACATTTTATGTTAACTTGATCGAGCTTTGTAATTGTTGCATCTGCACCATAGATAGCAGCCATATGTTGCTCAAGAAAATGCATTTCCATAATTATCAAATATTTCTCTTATTTAGTTGGACATTGGCTCTATGAATTGTTCTATACTAATATTATTGTAGAAATATTCTTAGGGAGGTAGCTAGGAAGGAAAATTGAGGGATATGACTGTCGTGTATGTTGTGCCAATGTTTTCCCAATGCAATGAAAATATGTGCGTTGGTGGTGAGTGGGTGAGAGGTGAGTCATGCAGTAAAGGTTTCAGGATGAAATTACCGTGCCATTTAACATGAGTTGAAATAGGCTTGCATTGGCTTTGTAGATGTTCAGTTTTTCCCTCCTGAACCCAGACATCTGTCCAGGCTCCAGAGCTGTGGTTTAGAGCCCTGGAGATGATCAGATTTTCTCTAATGGACAAAGTTTCATGTTTTAATGACAAATCTTATTCATGTACTGCAAGAAAGCTTTGGGTGGTTGATGCCATTATGACACTACATCTTTAATGGGATAGAGCACTTCTTTGAAAAATAGTACGTTGTGATGCAAGGAATTATAGTTACCATCAAGATATTTATCTATTAACACATGAACTTGCATATGCATGATCTTAGCATGAGCTTTAAAATTGAAAATTTGACCAAATTCATATCATTTTGAATTGCTGATATTCATAGAACGGATAGCGTGTACTTAATAAAAGTTACCACCCACAACATGTTCTTCTAGGTGACTCACTGCAAGAATACATGTAAATTTGTAGAATTAACCTTTACTGTAAGTAAAAAGTACTGCATGTTATGTTGAGCACTTTGTGCATTGCTTGTCACTTGCAATCTTTTTGATTCTTCCCCTCATTGCTGCTGATGAGTGGTTCAAACTTTCAATGTTTGTAATTTATGGCCCCTTGTCATCAAATTCATATACCAAAGAGCTATTAATGCATTTGCAATGTAATGGAATCGATCTTAACCTTGTGGTATTTGTTCTTGTTGCGGAGAGGAGAGTATGATTGAGAGGATGGGGAAAGGAGAGAGTAGATTGAGAGCTAGGTGTGAAGCTCTTGGTTGTGAGGGAGAGAGGATAGCTAGGATCGGCTGGGCTAAGGAATAAGAGGAGAAGAGAGCCTAAGGTGGAGAGGAGAGGATGAAGATTTTAAGGAGCAATCATGCTTCTTTCATTTAATAATCAAGTCTTTCTTGGTTATGCACATTCTCAAATTTACATGGAAGTCAAATTAAATATAAAAAGAGAAGTCACCTATTACGCAGGGTGAAGTTAGGTTTGGATCCATGTTAAGTAGTAATGTGGATGGGCCCATTTGTAGTTATGAATTGTACTACTATTGGCTCAACCCTCTTGTAAAATATATTCTGAGGTTGTTAATGACATATACGATGGAATAGTGACAAGTGTCAAAAATTGTTATATAATGACTTGAGGGTTCTCATTCACAAATAGAGCCACATCAAAGATAAATTTTCACTTATTCCTTTTTGATATAATAAATTGTGGAAGTGCTTTTTTAGAAATTCTTTAAAAAGGTTATTTTTCTATTTGATGTTTGTGCATTCCATAGTTTTAATAATTTCTCCTTTTTTAAGTAAAATGTTAGAATAATGGAGAACATTTAAAAAAATGGTAAAATTAATAGACGAAAAATCGAGTTTATATTGTGCAATTTAAAAATATGAAATGTCTCTTTTTAAATTTTGGCTTTATGTACAAAATATTGAGGAGAGTTGTGCAAAAATTGGTTGACACATAAATAAGACTATAAAACTATGGTTTGTAGAGTCAAAGTTGAGTTGATAGATTGAACAATTTCTCTTAAGAGTATAATTTGATAAGAAAATATTTCATACTTAAGTATAAACTTCATAAAACACTAATATAATCAATTAACCTTGAAGTTTTGACGATTACCAAGTCAGGGCAACAAAAAAATTAGGCACAACCTTGTTAAGTGTAAATTGAAAATTTAGATGATCAAGTTGAAAAAATCAGGATTGATGTAGTGGATGAGAGTAATAAATAGATTGATTAGGTTGTAGAAAATATAGCTACGCAATTTTGTTTGTCAAATGGGTAACATAAACTGCATAAAAAAGTTCAGTCATAAAAATAATATGAAAGGTATGAAATGTAAAGAGACCACATGTTACTTGCCTAGAAACTGTTTAGAAAGAGTTGTACTGCTAGCCCTTGCGTTCGATGTAGCACATAGTAGAATTAGAAGATAAGGATTTATGATGCCAAAACCAGAAGTTGGAATGGTGCTATGTTTATGATAATGCCTTGTTATATTTAGGGGCTATTTAGTTGTTTGAAAAAGGAGTGTAATGTAAAAGGAATGCGGTGTAAAAGAAATAATTTATAGTTGTTTGGACGAGTGTAAAAGGAATGCGTGAATTTAAAATTTTTTGTTTGGTTTGAAATAAAAATGCAATGTAAAGTATAAAAATGTTGTGCCCGAGGCGGCGGATAGGTGGCGGTGTAGGCGGTGGCCGCCATAGGCGGTCAAGGTAGCACTTGAGCGGTGTAAAGTGTTCTCGGTCAAATTGGGCGAGAACACTTTACCTAAAAAATGAACTAAAATGGAATGCATTGCATTTACTTTACTTTACCTTGGATTTACTTTTAATCCAACCAAACACCAAAAAGTGAATAAGTAATGCATTTACTTTACTTTACATTTTTTTTTTCCAACCAAACAATCCCTTATAAAAAAAGATTGTTCTCACTCTCACCATTGAAAATATTATAGATTATGTGCATCTATCTTGATTTTTGTTAAGGCTTCATGTTTTAAAGCCATGGAACACATAATTTTTACATGCATATGCAAGTAGATCAATGCATGCTCATGTTGCACGCATAAATTTGTCATTCTATTTAGACTAACTGGATATAAATACACACAAGTCAAAGGTGCGTGCATATAAAGATGAAAATATGCATGCAAATTTTCTCCTTTATTTCAATATAATTTATTCATATGGACATCAAAGCTATGTTACCTTGCTAGAGAACCTAAAATATGTTTAGGACCGTTATATTAGTTGTAAAATAGTTATGAGTTTTTTTTTTAAACTATTGTGGGTGTTATAAACATTTTTCTTTTTGAAAATTTTTAATAACAATTATTTTTTTTATGCTTATAATACTATAAGCATATTTGATAATAATGAGTAACTTCTCAACATAGGAATTTTTGAAAAACAACAAGAACGTTATAGTCATATAAAATTATGTCTGTTTTGTTCAAACACAAGGTGATTTGACCAAGTATTTTCCTATTTTAGTTCGATTACATCAAGGATTAACTTTAAGCCCATATATTTTTTGCTTTAGTCATGGATGTCCTTACTAGACGTTTGCAAGAGAATGTTGATACAACGGGAGCAGAGGGGGTCTGCACCAAGCTGGACCTGCGAGATGTTGGATTAGTCGGTTTAGCCGATTATTGCCCAGGTGGGGCCGACAAACCTAGAGAGAGGCGACTGAGGAGGTGGGGCCCAGTAAAGAAATAAAATATTATGTTAGGAGAGAATCAATTAAGAGATCTTTTCTTAATTGAATTTCAAATATATGAGGGAAACTTATTGGGAAGGAGATTGATTTTGGAGGGAAGGAGGAATTCTATTTAAGTCTAAGGTTAGGGCTAGTTTTTTTTTTATATAGATTTTTATTTGAGTGCTGTAGTTCTTTCTTGTCTGAGGGATCCTAACGGTGTCTAGGATTTGGGAGAGAAGATCCTCCTCTTGAAAGAGGATCAATTGTATCTTTCTTCTTGTTATTTATTTTTCTAGCAATAAAATATGTTTTGTGCTTAAGTCATCTTGTTTGTGGATTGTTTTTTGATACCAAGGTGTATCATATGTACCCTATTGTATGCTTTTTGCTGATGATATTCTTCTTGTTGATAAGACTACATAAGAGTTGAAGGAAAACTTGAATTATGGAGGTCAATTTTAGAGTCTTAAGGTTTTTGTTTGAGTAGATCTAAAAACCTATGATGCACCGACACTTCTCCTCAAAGAGGCGTGCAGTGTACGATACCGTATCCGACACGACACTCGTCCGACACTCCTCCGACACATGTCAGACACGCCGAAAACGTGTCCGATTAAAAAATATTAAAAACAAATTGGACACACGTGTCTGACACACGTATCTTAAATATTTTATAATTTTTTTAAAATATAATTTCTTATATTTGACGAGATTTAAACTAAATTTCTTATTTTCTATCCACAACACGAAATCAACGTCTGCATTTAATACCCATTCATCGAATATTCTCATTTTCATTTCTCTTTGGCAATGAAGGTATTTTAATCTCCTCTTTTTTTGCACAATTACAAATCTTTCTCTTCTTGAACAAGAGTTGAAAGTAGTGATATTCAATGATGATGATATTGAAAACCAAAAACAAACCTCTAAAGCTAATCCTAATAGTTGAAGCTTGAATGCTTGATGTTGTAGTAAGTGATTATTTGTTTATATTTTTATGGTTGTACTAGATATTTTATATTATAAGTTAGACAAGTTATCATATCATTCATTTATTATTGTTTGCATTTTTAATATTATATTATATTAATATATATACACTATATAAAAAATGTATTGCCGTGTCCGCGCCGTACCTGTGTCCTATATTTTAAAAAAAAATCGTGTCCCGTGTCCGTGTCGTGTCGTGTCTGTGTCGCCGTGTCCATGTCTGTGCATCATAGTCTAAATCCCTTTTGAATTGAGTGCAATTTTAGTAGTAATATATCTAGTGGGGGGATTGTGACTTTGGGCAATCAAGTCATTAAAAAGAGTACATGTTTTTAAATATCTTAGGTATGTTCACAGTGACGGTGAAATAGATGGAAATATTATTAGTAGAATTTAGGTTGGATGGTTGAAGTGGAGGAATATATCAGGCCCATTGCAGTGTTGTGTGATAGAAAAGTACCCCTCAAACATTAGAGAAAATTTCTTAAGATGGTGGTGAGACCTGCAATGCTTTATGGCGCAGAATGTTGGCCATTAAAAGAGAATCATACAATTAAGTTAAAGTGTTTCAGAGATGAAGATACTTAGGTGGATGAGTGGTTTTACCCCTATAGGCAGAATATGAAACGAGTATATACATGAAAAGGTTGGGGTTTCCCTATTGGTGGATAAGATTAGAGAGACTCGCCTTAGATGATTTGATCACATAAAACGTCGGCCTTCTGATGACCCGGTTCGCAGAGTATATGTATTAGATTTGACATATGTTAAGAAAGGTGGAGTTAGACCTTAAAAGACTTGGTTAGAAAGTATTATAAATGATATTTTTTTATTATATTTAAATGAGAATTTGACTCTTAACATGACACAACAGAAAAAAAGGTTTTATGTAGTTGAGACCCCACGTAGTGGGATAAAGACTTGATGTTTTTGTTGTTGTGTTTTGAAAAATAAAGTTGTGAAAAAGTTGCCTTGAAATGGCCATTAAGTATGAAATTATAATGTTGGTCATCACAGCAGATATTAGAGGATCTTGGAACTAATGAACTGTTTCTGCTGAGTGGGGAGAGTTGAAATTTTGGGGTTTGTAAGCAAATTTTCTTGAAATCCCATTTAAAGTTCTTGATCTATGGATGTGTATTACTTAGGGGACATGCTATTGTTTAAGAAATTGTATATTTTTCAATATATTTGAAACAATATGCAGAGGAGGTTTCTCAAAGATTGATCACTTAGTGATTTAATGGTAAATACTATAAAAAGATATTCCTGCTTTATCAATCATTCTTCCCTAGGTAGTAAGCATTGCATAATTGATAGAAGAGTTTTTCCACCTCATGATGATTTAGAGCACTATCAAAGATCTACTTCATGCTTGCAAAAGTTTTTTTTTTTGTTAATTTGGCCTTGAAATATTCTCTCAAATGGCTTTATATATTTCAAATTTGATTGGTAATTTCAAATTATATTGTTTATTGTATTCAAGATCTAAACTAATAATTTGGATTTTAACCCAGGCTGACTATCCAAGAAGTAGGCCTCTCTGATCTTGTGCTTGATTCATTGTCTCAGTGCCTTGATAAGGGTCCTAGTGAAATCAAGGTATCGTTAGTGATATTTTCTTCAAACTGAACTTCTCTATGTTTTGCACAACTATTTCTGTCGTTAATTTTATTACTGCCCTGGATTACTTTTTAAATGTGATGAATATCCATTTACTGTAATCTTGGGCTTAGGTCTTTGCCATTCATTTTGTGCTGGCATTTACAGACGTATGAAACAACACCAAACATCTTATACAGGCAAGATACGAGAATATTTCTGTGTCAGAGAGAAGTAACAATTGTGGTAGAACTGTTCCAAAAGATGACAAGATTGAAGATTCATTTTTGGAAAAAGATCTGGATGCTGCTCTTGATTCCTTTGATAACCTTTTCTGCAGAAGGTGTCTAGTAAGTGCACCCTGATACTTTCTTTATCTATGTTTTCGCCGTTGCTTGTTATCCTACTCTGGTAATATCATTTTCTTATTGATTCCTGGTGTGTCCTGCAGGTTTTTGATTGTAGATTGCATGGATGTTCTCAGGATTTAGTATTTCCTGTAAGTTGATTGAAAGTAAATTTGTATCCTTGCATGTTAAATCTTTAGTGGTTATGGTTGTCCCTTGTCAGTCAGAAAAACAACTTCCATGGAGCTGCTCAGATGATGGATCTCCATGTGGCATCCATTGTTATAGGCTGGTAGGCGTTCTGTAGGCTTGATTATAATTGATGAAGTTTGTATACTGATGATTTTATCGAATTAGTCATTTATACTATTTGCTGAATCTTGTTGATCATTTATGCTATAGATTGTGTGAACATTTATGAAGTTTCTAAGCACTTTCTTGTCAGGCCTCCAAATCAGAGAGCAATGCAACTGTGAATTCTCAGATGCCTCGTGTACCTGAAGAACTTAGTAATTCAAATGGAAGTGCTGGAACACATCTTTCGCCAAGAAAGAAATCTTGTAGTTCCTCAATTGGAAGGAGAGTAAGGTCCAATCAAAGTGAAAGTGCTTCATTAACTGCAAGGGCTGTATCCGAAAGTAGCGAGTCAGAAGTGAGGCATTGCCAGGAGCATTTGACCGTTAATCACTCATCACCTCCAAAGACTAATCTTGGTGTAAAAAGTGGGAAGAAAAATAACAAAAGAGTTGCCGAGCGTGTGTTAGGTTCCTTAAGGAAGAAACAGAAGCAAGTGGTACCATCAGACTCGGATTCTGTAGTTAAGGGATCAATTGCTAAGCAAGACATGAAACTTCGGTCAAAAATATGCTATGGTAAAAAGGGATCCGCTTCATCATTGCCTTCCAAAGTTTCAAAGAAAGCTGTAAAAAAATCCAAAAAAAAGAAATTGGTACTGCATGATGGTTTTGATTCAACTTGTCCTGAAGTTCCCAATGAAACTCATACCGGGATGATCAAGGAGACACCAGCCACTGATGGTGATGAAGTTTCAAGAAAAGAGTTTGTTGGTGAGAATATATACAAAGGTGATAGCTGCTACAAGTCATGGAGGACCTTTGAGAAGGGTCTTGTCTCAAAAGGCATAGAAATTTTTGGTAGAAACAGGTCAGCCATTCTTGTGCGGTTGTTTAAATTCATTCTTATCTTCTTTTCAATTATACATAAATTCAACTTCTTTTATCAAAGGATTCATCTAATATGTTTACAAAATATTTTTTGCAATAATTTAAATAGTCCATTCGGTAAATGAGAGTATCATTCTTCCTTATGTTATTTAGTGTTATATGTTAGCTAATTAGCACTTCTTGATTTCTCTCTTTCCCTCTCCCTTGCTTTCTTTCTTTCCTTGCAATTTAAGATTGGGTGAATATGTTATACTTCTTGATTGAATCAAGAAGGATAGGATATCTTTTGAGTAGGTGGAGACTCCTAGAGGAAGAAGAGGAACAAGAGAAGAAGGGGGAGAGAAAATCAGAATTTCATTTCCATAACTTTAATTATAGCAAGAGGGGGTTTATTTATAGGCTTGTATAAATGAAAAGAAAGAGGGTCAACTGTCTAAAGTAATAATAAACTAGTTTACAAAATAAACCTAATGTTATAGGTTTATTTTTAATATAATCATGACTTGGTTCAATCCTTAGACCGTTTTCTAGATCGGGTGTACTATAAACTATGAATTGTTGTCCTGACCTTGTTCTTCTGATTTGTGGATCCAATTTTCTCTTGTTCTTCTGATTTGTGGATCCAATTTTCTCTTTAGTTTTGTATTGTATTTTAATAGGTAACAACCCAAAGTAATAGAAAATAATGCAGAAATTCAGAGAAAATCAGCAATACACAATTGTTTTCACAGAATTTAGAGAAAAATCACCAAGAAAATCACTTAGAATTGAGTGGGAAAATAAAAGAAACAACCCGACACAATGAATCTTCGATTCGAAAGGAAGATTTCACTCTCCAAATCTCTATCTAAAGCCTAGAGCCCAAAATCAAACACAAGATCTCAAATTCAGATAACCTTAACCCTAGTAAGACAAGACTAATTAAAGCAAAATGATAAATATTTAATTCATAAACAACCCTAATTTGAAATTTCCCTCAAACACAAAGCTCAATTATTGTGTGGGCCCCATCTACTTAGCAAACCCCCCTGACTCTCCTTGGTTCCGCTCCCCCCCCCCACTCCCACCCCTTGAGCTAGTCTAACATTAGCCCTCCATCCCAAAAACTCGCCTTGTCCTCAAGGTGAAATGAAGGAAACTGATGCTTCACCCTCTCATACAGTTCCCAAGTGGCATCGAAGTCGGGAAGGCCTCTCCATTTTATCAGCCACTTCTTTATTCCCCTCATTACATGATTTCACACCTTTTAGCTCCAGTGGTTCTAAGACCACTTCCAACTTCTCCATCAATTTCGCTAGTAACTCTGCACTAATTAGATGCTCCCATAGAGCTTTCCTCAACTGTGACATATGGAATACTGGGTGTATAGTGGCAGTCAGGGGTCAACCTGTACTCCAAAACTCCAATCCTTTCCACTATCTCGTAGGGCCCGAAATACCGTGGGGCTAATTTCGCATTCGGCCTATGTGGCACTGTCTTCTGTCTGTAGGGTTGCAGTTTTAAGAACACTTGAGCTATTTCCAGTTAATTGTTTGAAGACATTGATGAGGACATCAGAAGATCAACGGCTATGATCTAGAGTTTATTTTATTTTTGATGTCTTATGTACTAGGTTATTTTATATTACTGTTTTTTCAATTTTACCCTTAGGAGTGGTCATGTGGTGTTGTAGCCCGAAGGGCATTTTAGTCTTTGCTATTTTTCTTTTTATGATACCTATTTATAGGCTAGCTCTCTTGTACTGTAGGATGATGATCGATTAATGAAAATTCAGATTTCTCTTTGTCTCCCTCAATGTTGAGTATTTGAGAGAAGGAAGACCCAAGGTGTGGGCAATCGCAATACCTGTCAACCTTTGGAAGAGTCCAAAGTTCGCGGTTCTATGATCGGTTCAAAGGGTCGTCATGCAACTGTGCAATTGTTGAGGTGAGGGCAACTCCTATGTTGCTTGAAATCATACTATCATCACTATAGGGGCTTTCATAGAATTATTGACACCATAGAGATTTAATGAAGGAGTATTTTGCCATGTTTCGTTACATTTATTGAGATCATGCCAAAACTTGGCTCATGTATTTTGAACCTTACACAAAACTCTAAATCACATATAATTGCTACAAGCACCAGTTGAATCCCTAGCTCTACGACCATGCACAAATCAAGGAAGCCTTAATTAGATTTTCACCACTCCATGTTGCATATAAGAGCTTCTGAACAAGAAGATATTTCAAACCATGTTGCTAGAGGGCAATCTTCTAATACAATACATCATTGCTTCTTTGAAGGGAAGGCATTAAATAATTAAATAATTAATGATGCTTGTTTTGGAATGAAAAAAAGGGTTATGCTTATTAAAATTTCAGAATTTAATATCTACCAAATTTTAAACATTTAAATGAAAATTTAATCACAAAAAAACTTAAAACTAAAGTTCATCCACACTTCGTAACAATTTGGCTAGGATGTTGAATTGGAGATTAATTTGCGCTCACAAAGAGCAGATATCTTGTGAAATGTATTGGAAACCGTTTGATAATCCAAATTGTGGTTTGAACCTTCCAACAGCGCTTCTAACCCTTGATTTGGACCCATTTGGGATCGGATTGGGTTGGATTTGGTGTCGTTGGGTTCGTAGTTCTGAGACGTTCTGTTTGACTGTAAGTTTGCTGAAATCGGAGTTCGGATGGTCCCAATTTTAATTCTGAAAGTTTCCAATTTGGTTTTGCATTGAGATTCGTGCCTGATCAAGATAATTTTTTGATGACATATCAATACTTAACACCCTTAGTTGTCAATGGCGCAAAATAGCGTGCGCCATTGCGCACGGCGCGGCGCACCAAAGGCGCCATGTTCATGGCGATGCGCATGTGTTTAAAGTAGCGCGCGCTATTTGCGCCACATGTGAGCCATGGTGCATGTCGCAAAATAGTGCGCCAAATTATTTTTAAATTTCATTATACTTATGAATATTTTTTACAAGAATTTACAACTTAACATGTATGATTCTTATTGATTACTACTTGAAGTGTTTCACTAGCAACCATGGTTTAGAGGCGTCCACATCTTAAAATAATAATAATAATAATAAAAAACGCTCGGTACTGCTAGGTACATGCTCGATACTGTTAGGTACATGCTCGGTACCGCTATGTACATGCTCGGTACCGCTCGGTACCTCTATGTATCTTTTCATACAAACAACTTACGAACTTTTAAAATAAGCAGAACTTCAAAATTACTCTTACAAATAAAATTTTCTTCATGAGCGCTGCCCCCGGAAACCCCTGCAAGGGCGCTGCCTTTCGACCCTGCGACTTGACTGGGTAGGTCAAACCCCGCCTCGGGGCAGCGCCCCCTTCGACCCCCGGCAGCCTAGCATTTTGTTGTATTCACCATCTTTAGAAATATTTGTTAGTGTTAGTCTGCTTCTTCATGAGTGCATGCTTTGTATAAGTTTTCTTCATGAGTGCATGCTTTGATTGGGAGACATTGGACTCTATAGGAGAGGAGGAAGGGATGGAGACTTTAAATGTGAATTATTGTCTCTTGAATAGCTTGTCTTTCATTTTTAATGATATTTCATATTCATGTTTATTATTTTAAAATTCTTATATAGTTTGCGCCATGTTCAAAATGATGTGCGCTATGCGCCATGGCTCAAAAGGGACCTTTGTGCCATGGTGCGCCACTCACCGTTAACAGGTATTTTAACACCCCTAGTGAGAATAGGATCTTTTTAAAATCTAAAAGAACACTCGGGTGCTCCTTTTGATTAGTATATATTGCTGTGGAGTGTCTTTGGTAGATTCTATATCTTAAAAACTGCCCTATGTTGACCGTCACTCATAACATAATTATATTGAAACATCTGGCATCCTCTTGATTGTCTCGGTATGTATCATGTATATTGAAAGACTTGCGATTGTTGACCCGTCAAAATTTGTATTTTCCTAAATTGTGTTATGCATTGCCATTCTTATAAATCTCGACCTGCCTAGCAATTGTGTTACTCCTGACGTATCTTTTGCAACTGCTAGGCTGCGGAAGATTAGCCCATGTGAACATAATAGTTTGTACTTGGCTAAAGTTTGTTCATGTCTTATTATTTAGAAGGCTCATCATCTTCACCTGGGCTTAAGTGTTTATGTTTAACTAATAGTATAGGTTAAACTCTCTAAATCTATCCTCATTCTCTTCAACTGAATTGCGTAATCCATTTTGCACTTTGTGCAAAAGCTTCATAGATTGGTTATTTGATGCTTTTGCGTCTAACTGTGTGGTTTCTTGTCTGGACAGCTGTTTAATTGCTAGAAATCTTTTAAGTGGACTGAAAACTTGCATGGAGATTTACCACTACTTGAACTTCATTGAAAATAAAGCAATGTATTGTGCTTCTGATGGTTCTCATTCTCTAGTTGAAGGACATGCCAAGGTTGACTTCAATAATTTAGAAAAAAAAGTATTCCTACTGAATACGTCTATGCATACAATCAAATACTGAATGTCTACTTTTTTGTTGGTGGTTTCAGGGCATGGATGTACGAGCAAGGTCAAGGTTCGTCAGGAGACGAGGTAGAGTTCGTCGCTTGAAATATACCTGGAAGTCTGCTGGTTACCATTCCATCAGGAAAAGGATTTCAGAGAGGAAAGATCAGCCTTGTCGGCAGTATAACCCTTGTGGTTGTCAATCTGCTTGTGGAAAACAGTGCCCTTGCATTCTGAATGGAACTTGCTGTGAAAAGTACTGTGGGTAAGTTTGTCTCTGTTCTTTCATTTTTTTGAAGATAAAAACAGTTGCAGCAGCCATTTCATCTTCAATTCCCCCAAAACAATCCCCAAACTCCATCCTATGACATACGAGTTTCGATTAGCCTCCTTTTGCCTTGGCGATAAAAAATTTTGGGTAGGAATGAGTACTATTAGCAATTTCTATCCACTGCAGTACTCTGCATTATAAGGTGGTGGGCTGGTTTGCCATTGGCGACCACCCATCCTCTCCATCTCGCTAGGAGTTTAGTTGCAACTAATAAAGGATGTTGTATCTACAAAAAGGTCTTCCAAAATGAGAGGCACATGTGATCAGACAGAAGGGACCCCGGACCTAATATCTGTTTAGCTGCAAGGACAGTGTAAATTGCATAATGATTATGAGCATGGTCTTCTAAACTAAATTTGACAATGACCCTGTGATAATCTATAAGCTATAATCTATTTTATTAAATCAAATTGACTTTATATTAGCAGTTAATTAACTAAGGCTGTAAAAATTATTAAACTATGGTTTCTGCATATTAAAAAGGCCCCGAAATCATTTTTTTCCTTTTGTAAGCGGGCTCACCATATCCCTCTGTGCAAAAACTGTTGCTTTATACCTCTACTAGTGACTGCATAAAAAACGTACTCTTTTTTTTAACAATATAGAGAAAAAATTTAGATTAAGGCTTCGTTTGGGACGGCTTTCTTACTGCTTCTTAAAGCAGCTTTTTAGTACAAAAATTAAATTTTTTCTAAAAAAAAAGCTGCTTTAAAAAGTAGAAAGAAAGCCGTCCCAAATGAAGCCTAAATTCAATCATGCTGATCTTCAAAGGAGAGTACTGTTTCCACTGACTTCATTGAACTTTTCACTGTAGTTTTATTACTCGGGAAGTAGTCCCTCAAAAAGCAGCTGTTTTTAGTTTATTCTCATAAGATACTTATTCAGTTTAGGGTGCTCTATGCTCAAGTTGCATATTGCAGTGTGAATCCAAGTGCATGCCGTCAACAGCTTTATACCCATTTTTCTGTGGTACTGATCCCACTGTCAAACATGTTGGAATAATTTAATTAAAAATGCTTTCTTTTAGGGTCTGGGATGAACAGATGTGTCGTGCCTGTTTTTTTATTTTTTTTCCTTTTTTCTCTTTTAAATTCTCTGCTGCTGTCTGATTATTAGTAGCATACCAAATCATATGCTTTTGTAGTTTTTTACTTTTCTCATTTTACACTCTTCTTTAGCATGCATTCATTTCTAATAATACTATTAAATTTTACGCCTCTCACGTTATAATAATGATGATAATAATGTATTTCTGCTATGATGGTAATATTGTATTATCTGATCTTGTGGGTTTTGTGAAAGACTTGGCGACTTCTGATGTTCACTTGTGATGTTGGCAAATAGGTGTCCAAAGATTTGCAAGAACCGTTTTAGAGGATGCCATTGTGCTAAGAGTCAATGTCGCAGTCGTCAATGTCCTTGCTTTGCTGCTGATAGAGAATGTGATCCAGATGTTTGTAGAAATTGCTGGGTTGGGTATGGATTTGGCTTATCTTTCTATCACGTAAAAACTTCCATATCTTATATGGGTTATTCAGGATTTAACAACCAATTTTGGTGTACCTTTTGATTATTGCATCTGATTTTCACGTTCAAATATCCTATAATATTGTTCATTTAATTTCCAATGCAGATGTGGTGATGGCAGTTTTGGCGGGCCTGTACAACTAGGAGACAATTATGAATGCAGAAATATGAAGCTTCTCCTAAAGCAACAACAAAGGGTATAGTGAACCACTATTTTTTTTTGATTAATTTGTTATTCCTTGCTCTTTTTATTTGAGTGATAAATTGATAAAATGCCATGTGATAAGAGGTATCAATCATGCCCTATTTTAATTACATGAATGTAAAAAACATGATTTTTTTTTTGCAATCTTGTTTAAATTCACATGCATCAAATGCACGGATGTAAATTCATTGAAAAATATTTTTATTTTAATATCTTACAATTCAACAAAAGAAACATTTATTTTATGTTTCAATCATTACTCAAACTAAAGGTTGTTGCATGTTAGGGAAGGTTTTGATTCAATGCACTAGACATAAATTGTTGAGGATGGATTCCATGTTTGAAGTTGGAAGAGATTTGAGATATGATAGTATATGGTCGTTCTTCTTTGAGAAGAAGAATTTAGAGATTAAAATTCCATTTTTGGTAGAAATATCACAACCCGACCTGGATACTCGAATTAACGAGGTGAGAACAAAAATCAGACGATATTAACATTCCATTATTTTCAATGAACACATTAACATAAAATCTCTCAAAGCATTTGAAGAGCCACTATAACAAAGATATTCCATAAAATCTATTTATTTTACTTTTCAAAGCTAATAATTACAACAATCATAATTTACTTATTTTTATTGTTGCGCTGTCTTCTATAGACGTACCCTTCTCTTTTAGCCATTTTAAATTTTTGTAGACTTACATTGATAACTTCAATAACATTTAGCATGTATAAAGTACAATACATATAATATTTGATATATGTCTATTTATTTAACATTTGATATACATTTATTTTCTTTGGTTCATTTCATTCTTTTAGACATATCATATTATATTCATTTTATAAGTTTGTATTCCTTTTATCATTTAATTAGTATAGGAGCATCATCTAAATCTACCAAAGATACAATCATTTTTATTTCCTTTTTCGTTTCCATAACATTTTTCCTTTTTGTGTGCACGAGTATATTACTTCTCCAGCTAGTACCATACGGGGGTCAACTCTTATAAATTTGCATGCTTATCATTTTCCTTTTTTCATTTATTTTTCATTCATTCATATATTATTTCTTTAATATATACTTTCTAAATACATATAAGTATCATATATGTGTATAATGGATGCATACTATCATATATATACATTTAAGTTTACATTGCTTTATTCATAATAGTGAAAACAATGTAAAATTCAATTGTATATATAATAGTATGCATCAATTATCATGATAAAGTATGTAAATGTGACATAAATATGTAAATGAATGTAAAAGAAATACAAAGTAAAGTTAGAAAGCAATTATACATATATGATACTTATATCCATTAAGAAAGTATGTATTAAAGAAAATAATATATGAATGAATGAAAAATAAATCGAAAAGAGAAAATGATAAGCATATAAATTTAGAGGAGTTTAGCCCTGTATGATACTGACTGGGAAAACAATGCACCCGTATACGTAAAAAAGAAAATGTTATGAAAAAGGTAAACAAAATGGAAATGGTTGTATCTTTGGTATAATTGGACGATGCTCCTCTACTAATTAAATGAGAAAAGGAATATACACTTATAACATGAATATAATATGATATGTATAAAGAATTGAATGGAATCAAATGAACCAAAGAAAGAAAATATATATCAAATGTTAATTGAATAGACATATATCAAATGTTATATATATTGTATTTTAAACATGTTGATTATTATAGAAGTTACCCACTGAGTTTATTTTGTAAACTCATTGCATTAAATAAATATTTTCAGGTAAGTTTCCAAAGATTTAGAAATGATTGAAAGAGAATAATACATCTATAGAAGACGAAGCAATAATGAAAACATGTAAATTATGACTGTTGCAATTATTAGCTTTAAAAAGTAAAATGAATCGATTTTATGAAATATCTTTGTTATAGTAGCTCTTGAGTTGCTTTGAGAGGTTTTATGTTAATGTGTTCATTGAAAAGAATGGAATGTTAATACCGTTCGATTTATGTTCTTGTCTAGTTAATTCGAGTATTTGGGGCCGGGTCGTGACAGTATATGGTCGTTCTCCTTTGAGAAGAAGAGTTTAGAGATTAAGAAGTTAAATATAAATCTTATTGTTGATGTTTAGAGTTGGTGTTAACAGGCCTTGGCGTTGCTATCAATGACATACATTAGTTATAGGCAATGGTGTGCTTTGATGTTATTTGCATTTGAACATAGCGGGTAATGGAGCTAGTTGGCATTGGTGTGGTTTGGTGACAATAGGCAGATTATAGTCGGCATATCGTAACTAGACAATGCTAGTCTGAAGATCGTTGTGTGACCAATGGTGGTGGTATTGTAGTGGGTGACAATGCTCTGGGTTTGTAGTTGGGCGCAGGTAGTCGGACAATGGTGATTCGAAGATGGTGCTAAATGGTAGCAGTTCGATAATGGTGGTCAAATCGTGGTAGTTTGGTGACGAATAAATGGAGGCAGTTTTACGACTGTTGTCAGACAATAATAATAAGATTGAGGCTTTTTGACAATTACAATTCAAAAATAGAGCTCTCTCTAATTTCAAGTCGAAGGTCCATACTCCTAGCTTTTTTTCATGTAAAGAATGAAGTCTAGTTATAATTTTTTGAGAATAATATTTTGAGAAGCCTAGCCTAATTCCAAAACGCTTTATTAAATGACCTATATTGATTCATTTGATTATAAATTTTTTTTGGATATTTGAGTGCTTTGATGATGTCGTAATTAAGTGATTTTGGGCTCGTTGGATTCTTCTTGTTGAGATGCTCTATATTTCTACAAGCATGCAAGATTTGGTGATTTTTTTATCCTTCAATTGATATCTCAATATTTCGAACAACATTTCAAGTGCTTGATTTAAGGGTCTTTAGAGTAGGATTCAATTATAATGTTGTTCAGTTATGTTGATCGGGATGTTAAATTCGATTATAAGTTTGTTAAAATAAGGGTTGAGACGTTTCTAAATTTAATTCCACAAGTTTTAAATGGTGTATGGAAGATATTGTTATTTTATGAATATATATTTTTATGCTTATAAATATTTGTTTTTAGATTTTATTTATTTTATTCATATGTATTTTTTCAAGTGTACTAATAAAAATTTATGTCATTATATTCACATGTTCATCATGAATTTTTATATGTCTACACAAAATTAATAGAAATAGTCGGGCTCCACGATTAGTCTTTTTTTAAGCCTTAATTGAATGAATATTTGTTGATACTTTTTTTTCTTTTTAATCAAAATATTGTTCTAAGTTTGGATGCTATTAAGGTCCCCTTTTTGAGTAAAAGCTTTGTGAGATAGGGAAATGGTTTGGCTATTTTAACAATATCTTCAAATATCATTGAGAATAATTTCAAGAACTAGCTTCTTCCTTAATAAGGTGCCAGCCAATGTAAAAAAAGTCGAACCCATTTTATTAATGTGTTAATAGAAAATTGAAAGACCTTTAATTTTATTGGCATCAAGTAAAAAAAAAATTGTTGCTGAGATCACTAGGAAACACAATAATAACTTAACTAAGAAATTGATTTGATCTCTAAAGAAGTTATACAATGGCTATAATTTATTTTTAATTTGCACTTATGAAGATAAATCTAATTATTGGAACTTTTTATCATATGCTTTTTCTAAATCAATAAATATCATATGTAGATCTTTCTTATTATGTCTATACTTCTCTAACAAACCTTTCAATAAATGTATAGCTTCCATAACAAACTTACCCATCATGAATCTAAATTGATTTTTAGAAACATTAGTTTCATATCATAACCTATGCTCAAAAACTCTCCCACATAATTTTAATGTTTGACACATTAATTTAATTCTTTTATAATTTGCGAACTTTTGTGCATCACTTTTCTTTCTTAAAAATGGGAATAATCGCATTTGACGTCTTTTTAGTCTTCAAAATAATTTTGAAAATTTTGTAAGCTAAGACATTTTCTCTTCTCCTAGGCATTCCCATACTTCTATTAGAATGTCATCAGGTTCAACAGCTTTTCTATCCTTAATTTTTCTTGAAAGCTCTCTTTAACTTTGATTTTACTAATACAACAATAAAAATAAAAATATCTTTTTTGTTTAGGGTGTTAATGGTCACTAAAATTAATTGTATTCCTACAATCTTCATTGAAAAACTTATCGAAATATCTTATCAACCTTTATTGAATATCCTCTTCTAATAAAATCATTTTTTGATCTTCATCTTTAATGCACTTTACTTGAACTAAATTCTTCTTTTATCTCTTTGTTTTTTGTCTTGGAAGTGTGCATATTGCATTCATTAAACCAAGACTAGTTACAAAACATAGAAAAAAGAACAAAATAAAGGGCCCTAAGTGTGAGCATGTGAGCTCATAACCTCCTCAAGGATATCAAAAAAATCTTGAGTAATTGTATCTCTATTCCTATTCCCAAAAATCCAAACAAAGTCACATAGTATAGCCCTTTGGGCACATAAATGAGTAGCTGAATTGTAGCACCTAGGCACATGCTGGAAGTGGACATTGTGAAAGAGGTGGATCTAATTAAAAGCATCACCAACTTGCGACCGACATCCCCATGCCTGTTGAGCCTTGCAGTCTTCAAGGAGCTTGATTATATTGTAATTGTCCTCTTCAATAATCAAACCGGCCATCTCAAACATCTACTCCTCCAAGAGCCTACTAATGTACTACATAGCTTGTAGTTCTACTTGCAAGCTATCCCAATCCCACGAGGAAAAAGTCGGCAACCCAAAAAGCGAAGGAGCGTCCCACTGATCTGGGTGAGAAGGAAACCAGATGTGAGGGAGGGCCTTAAGAATCCCTACGGCTATAATGGAAGGATTGGGAAAAGCTGGCTATGCTTCTTAGCATTCCTACCACGCTAAATTTGATAAACCGCATAACAATAGATTTGTACCCACCCATGCGAGCTTGTAGTAACATGACTAATCACATCCAACAACTCACAAAGTCCAGAGAAGTGTGGGGAGAAGAAGCCCCATCTGGTAAGAGAGTCCAAAATTCTGTGCAACTGATTGTAGGTAGCTGTGATATGGTTGATGTCTTCAATGCCGGAACAACTCAAGGGCGACGAGCATCATATTGAAGACCATGAGTGAGGAGCCACTGATTGGTAGGGATAATCTCCTTACATATGCGCCACCAAAAGACCTTTTCTCTTTGGTGAAGACGAAGTTTTGAAATCGGTAAGAACAAACCATCCGGGAACTGAAACAAGCATTTGTAGGCGATGCATGCCACCGTGGAATTGAGCGGCATCTTGAGCAATTCAATAGAATCGCTCGAGCTCCCATGGTCTAGCTGAATGCACGTTATCTTCTCGATTAAGATTTGGCCAAAGCACCTCTCCAACGTTTGTGTATTCAAATGCCCATCTTCATTGAGAAGGTCGGCCACCATCAAGTTCTCAATCCGCTCAATATCGAGGAAGCTTGGTCATCGAGCCAAGGCTTCTATCTCTTTGTTTTGCCTCTCCAAGTTCTTTAGATCCCATGTTACTTTATTACTACTTGTGTGCCCTTTTATATCTTTTTCAAATTTCTTAACTTTTAAATCTAAATAAATTTTTATAACAAAGCTTTTTATTTTTGATTATTTTTACCTATTTTGATTTATTATCAGCTATTTTTATTATTGAGAGTTTTTCATTTTGATACTTCAAATACTTTTTTTGTAACATTTTTTATATTACTAACTATTATTTCCTATATAACATTAGCATCTTCCGGCACAGTCAAAATTTTGATTGGAAAGATGTTTCTACTCTACACTGGTTTTCCATAGTCAATAAGTCGTTGGCATAAAATTAAATTAATTTTGGGTCAAAGTAAGAACCTTCAAAAAATTATGAGGAATTCAAAGATTTGACTGTTGGCTTGTGCGATTTTTTTATTCCTTTCCAAGCCTATTTTATAGTGGTTAATATCTTCTGTATTATTTATAATTCGATCTGCCCAATCTACTTTTCAAAACATTGCATCCATTTAGAAAATATACTCAAGTCCGTCATCAGATTGATTCCTCTAAACTTCTATTAATTTACCGAAATGACATCTTATCACTAGTGTAGAAGGCACTTGTGACAGGTGTCGTTTCTTCTTTAGTATTTGGATTTGCATATCTATAATTTCAATGTTAACATCATTTCGAAATATGTTGAGCTGTTCAACCATTCATGACTTAGTATGTTCCTTTAAGTCCGTAACTTTGTGTTTACAATAAAAATAATAATTATTTTTTATTAAGTTGAAGCTGCGCGATTAAATGTGAAGTGTTTAAACTGATTCCAGTTTTTGTGGAACTGGGCGATGAATCTTTTATTTAAACTATGCCCACTTTTTGTCTCTGCTACTCTACTATTGTTGGGCATTCATGTGTATTCCCGTGTACCTTCTGTCCATGAGTAATTCAAGTGGTTGCCTACCAGGAAATTGACAGCCTTCTTTGTTCCATTTATTAATGTCCTTTACATATTGTTTCACATAGACAATATCATAGTTTTGTTTCATTTCTTGTTTTCACTGATACTAAGGGAAAATGATTAGCTTATATTCTTTTATCTTAGTACATTCTTGAGTTACTTAGGTGAATCCTTTTCAACCAGTTTTAAAGTGCCGATCTTCTTACATACAGGTACTACTAGGTGGATCTGATATTTCTGGTTGGGGTGCTTTCCTAAAGGTAATTCACTTTTCTTTCCCACCTGAGCTTTTGGATCTTAAGCTCACTGATGACCAACAATATTGTAATCCTTCAACAGAATAGCGTTGGTAAGCATGAATATCTTGGAGAATACACCGGTGAACTGATCTCTCATAGAGAGGCAGATAAGCGGGGGAAGATTTACGATCGTGAAAACTCATCCTTTCTTTTCAATCTGAATGATCAGGCATGTAATTCTAATTCCATAGCAAGAATGTTCTGTTCACCTATCAATGCTATATATATAGACTTCTGATATAATTATATCAATGCAGTTTGTTCTCGATGCTTACCGCAAGGGTGATAAGTTGAAGTTTGCCAATCATTCCCCTGAGCCAAATTGCTATGCTAAGGTAATCATGGTAGCTGGTGATCACAGAGTAGGCATATTTGCCAAGGAACGCATTGGTGCTGGGGAAGAGCTGTTCTATGACTACCGTTATGAGCCAGACAGAGCTCCCGCTTGGGCAAGGAAGCCTGAAGCTTCTGGATCGAAGAAGGAGGAAGCTGGCCCTTCAACTGGCCGTGCTAAGAAACTTGCTTAACATAGAAGAAGGGAACGATTTTATTCTAACCCAGGTTTTTACTCATTTTGGTTCATTTTAATTCATATTGGCTAACATTTCAGATGCATTAATTTTTGTAGAGGTTAGAGGTGAGATATAAACTAATCACCGAGAACCTTCTTGCTCTTTTTGATTAAAATTAATGTATTACCTTTTTATACGCCATTTTTAACATTCTCTTTCACGCTGTAAACATTCTTTGGTCAGCTGACAAAAGCATTCAGAAATATATCCTTCAAATTGTTTTACTTCTGTTTTAGATATTTGCTCTTTTTATATAGCCCATATCTTTTTGCTTTAGTCTTGGATGTTCTCACTAGACATTTGCAAGAGGATGTACCTTGGTGTTTGCTTTTTGCATATGATTACCAAGTTAAGTATTGCAGAGATGAGGATTCCCAGGTGGATGAGTGGCTTTACCCTTATAGATAGGATACGAAATAAGCATATGCATGAAAAGGTTGGAGTAGCTCCAGTGGAAGATAAGATTAGAGAGAGTCTCCTTAGATGGTTTGACCACATAAAACGGATGCCTTCCGATGACCCGGTTAGGAAAGTAGAGTTATTAGATCTGACTTTTGTTAAGAAAGAAAGAGGTAGGCCTAAAAAGTCTTGGTTAGAAAATATTAGAAATGATCTTTCTTTATTAGATTTAAACGAGAATTTGACTTTTAACATGAAACAATGAAGAAAAAGGATTCATGTAGTCGACCCCCCGTAGTGTGGGACAAAGGCTTGATGTTGTTGTTGTTGTTGCTGCTCTTTTTTTAGGTGCCTCCTGAATTTTAATGGTTCAAAGCAGATTTCCCATTTTCCCCACCTGAAAACTGAAAACATGACAGAAATTTTCCAAGTATTTCAAACTTTTAAATCCTTGAGAATTTCGTCAGTTCTAGCTGGGTCAGTACGATCCATTAAATCGAAATTTTCTAATTTTTCACTATCAGTAGCTTTTATCCAACTAATTGAACTAAGTTTTGGGAGTTTTATTCTTTATTTGTTTCTAAATTGTATTGCATGAAGAGTTGAATAGCTTTTTCATTTTGCCCCTCTCTTCTTTAATAATTTCATGTTAATTTAATTTACTTGTGACTATATTTTTTATTCTATGTTGTGCATTATCCAACTTTTAATATCTACTTCCCGTCTGTTCTGCAGCTTTTCTAACGTTTCTTTTGTCCAGTAACTTCAAGATTTTTGTAAAAGAACGTTGCTCTTAGGATCTATTCTCAAATCTTGTTATTTTTTTTGCCCTACTTGCTTTTTGAAGATTTATTTGAACTTGTCATATATTTAGGAACATAATCTACTATTTCATGTGTCACTTGGCAAGAATAGATTGAATATGAGGATTTATAAGGCTGTCGTATGCTGAATTTTTCTGATATATATGGTTGGTATGTGATTATGAAGTTTTTATTTTAATGGCCATAATCTGATGTTTTTATTAACAAAGCTATTTGGATGTTGATATGTTATTGAAAATTTAATATTCTTGATAAAATGTTGAAATCTAATTATGAAATCTTATTTATGTGATAATTGTGATATTATTTTATTTTATTTTACTTTTTGGTAGAGCTTTTAAATATTAGACATTATAATTTGTAGCAAATAAATGTTAGAATTGTCAGTTGGAATTGAAAATTTGGGCTCTCAAATCTCCCGATTTCATTGTATTGTGTTAGCTTTCAATCTTCAGAAAGGTGCAGAGTTGGTAGCTTCATAGTTAACGAATTTATATGCCCTTTAATCTTTATGATCTTGTATTTGTTAATATTCCATTGTGGATAGAGAGCCAACTTTATTCCTTTTTGCAGCAATTGAGGACAATTTTGAGTAAATGCCATTTTCGAATTGAGCAAATTTGCAAAATTGATTATATAAATCCTCTTACAAATTGCATGTGATGATTTTATTAAAAAATTTGAAAACATGGGATGTGATGTTCCAACTTTTTGCAGTTATATTCTATCTTCATATCCTTATCATTTTCATGTCTCATATTGATATCCATACTCTTTATAGGTGTTATCTAAATCATGTCTAAGCTTCTTGGAAAGCATTAAGTATCATTTGGTGTGAACATAAGTAGGTATGTTGTGAAACTTTTTTACCGTAGCCGTCTTCAATTTAGATTTTATTTGGAATAGCTTTTTTTTTTGTTTTTTTTTAAAAGCATCTTTTTAGTATTTTCTTTTAAACTGCGAAAAGATAGTAGTGAAATGATGTTCCGAACAAAACTTTAATGTACTTAGGATTCACAATATAGTATTAATGAGTTTATATTTTAGTGATATAGATTGATATATTTTAGTGTATATTGCATTTGAGTCATTTTTGTATATTTGAATTTTTTCTTCGTAGTTGAGCCTATATGTTAATAGGTTTTGGCCAAGTTATTGTATCAAAATAATTTATTGTATCATGAGTCATAATTTCCTCTCCCTTTACTCTTCCTTAGGGGTTTCAAAAGTTGGCATGACCCGAAACCCGATTCGAACCTGACTCAGAAAAATCTGGGTTTGAGACAACTCGTGTCGGGTTCGGGTTGACACAAAAAACCGCGGGTCAACTCGTGAGTTACGTCACGACCTTGACCTAGCATTGTGAAGTCTTCCAAGCATTCACCAAGGCGCCTAGGCCCCGCCTCAAAGCCTCCTCCTGCCAATACGCACGACCCCGCCCATTCTCCCTGGTGCCTCCTACACCCTAGCCTCACATGCGTGGCGCGGCCTCAACGGTTCACTTCCCCACCTCCCGGCTCCCGCCTCCTTCGAAGTCCAACCTACGGTAGTCCGCTCCTTCGCCACACATGCGGATGCGCCTCACCGGTCACTGTCATTTCGCCCTGACCCGTGACCCACGTGGCTCGACTCAATGACTACGCCGAGGATGGAAACCTAGATTAGTTTGGGTTCACGGGTCGGGTTGGGTTTGAGTTATATATTCCGACCCATTTGGCTAAACGGGTTAGATTTGGGTCATCCTGTTTATGCCCAGGGTAAGTCAAGTTGGACCCGAACCCGATCTGTCGATACCCCTACTCCAACAATTCATGTTTCTTTTCCCTTTTTCATTCTTTAAGATTTCTTCGTACAGTATAAGCAACACTCTTCCTTTCAAATGAAAATATGCCTTCTAAACGTCAATAAAGCTTTGTTAATAAAAGACAACACCCTCATATGATTATGGAAAACTTCACAAAATACCAATTGCCACTTCATGACTATGATGTCTTTGATAGCAATGTGGTTTTACAATGGCTTATGTTGCAAAGTACTCCATCAATCATCATTGATTTTCATTAAGTCACTGCTTAGATGTCGCTTTATTTCTAGCTTCGGTTTTGTTTGTGATAGCTTTAGACCATTATTTTTTTCTTGCTTTAAAGAGATATTTTAAATTAAAAAATAGCTTTATAAATAGTAATAAAAATCAAGCATATCACTAATAAATAATATATATTCTAAATAATATTCTTCTTAAATGCTACATATCATTAAAATTTACAAAAAAAGAAAACACTCATATAAAATGAGGTATTTGAAATGAAATTAATAAAGAATATAAAATGAGGCATTTGAAATGAAATTAATAAAGATTGGATGAATTAATCAAATATTATATCTACTCAAAATAAATTTTACAAATAAAAATCTCATTTTAATTGAATTTATATAAAAATATTATGAATAAATTTATTTCCTCTTCCCATCTGTTCAACTCAACTGCTTAGAATTGACCTGGAACAGCTGTTTCCATAATGTGATAAAAGTCCAAGTCTGTATTAATATTTTCTGACTTTGAAGATACGTTGATAGTTCTGCTAACTGTTATAAATTCTTCTTACTTGTATTGAATGGGCAGGCCAATCTTGAACGTTATTCAATTTCTGAAAAATCGTTCAATGAAATCCGTTTGCTTTTATTACTAAGCATATATTATTTTAAGCCGTTTGTTGACTTGCAGATTTTATTTTTTTATTTTGTATCACTGAGTTTCTGTTCGGGATTGTTTTCTCGCTATTTTATTTTTCGTGCTACTTTTTCTGACCGTTTTTCAAAAATTTCTGCGATGAAAAACTGCTTATTGCTAGTGTATTTTCACAATCAATTTTATAAAATATTGTAGTTATTTAAAAATGTCTTAAGTGATTAGAATGAATTTTGTAATTGAATTAATTTTAAATAGGTTTCATACAGAAGATGATGATCAATTTGATTATACATTTCCCAAAATAAAATTTAGAATTTATATTTTATTCTAAGCAAATTGGAATTTGGCTTTCCCATCCAAATTTTCGTCAGTTCATTGGAATTTATTTATAGAATTAATTAAATATGATAAATTCATGATAAAATGAGAATTGAAAAGTTAAATACATAAAATAATACATTTTTTTACAATGTGCTTTCTGTTTGAGTAATGCCATACTCTTTAAATAGAATCTAATTCTTTTTTTTTTTTTTTTTTTTTTTTGGATTTAGTTTTTTTTGTGAATTAGGCTTCATTTGAGAGAGTGTTAGACCGCTGTTTTTTTTCTGCTTTCAAAATTTTTTCGTACTAAATAACAACATTACAAAGCACTAAAAAAGCCATCCACTTTTTTACTCATTCTTAAAGAAGCTTTCTAAAACAAAAATTAATTTTTTTTTTGTACTGCTAAGCTATTTTAAGAAGTAGTAAGAAAGTCATCTCAAAGAAAGTCTTAGGTTTTGTTTGGGAGAGTTTTTTCGTCGCTTTCTAAAATAATTTTTAGTACAAAAGTTTTTAATTCAAGAAAATTTTAGGTTAAAAAGCTATTTTAAAAAGCATTAAATAAGCTATCCCAAACGAAACCTTAGGGATGTGAAATTAACTTGAAGCTTAAGCATTTCATTCATGTTAATGATTTTTAGTTTATTTGAATAAGGGAATTAAACATAAGAACTCATTTTTTTTTTTTAATAAAAATTATGATTCTATTTGAAGTTTAGCATATCTATTGATATAACAATCCTTTAGAAAAGTCTTCACACTATTAAATAAATGACAAATGGCATGCCTAACCATTTCTTCAATTGATAGGCATTTCAATTTGGCACAATTAAGGAATGATAACCTTTATTATGATGTTTTTTATATCATTATATATTTTTTTTGTATTGTACAATAGTTGTAAGGATCTTTGGTCAAATAATAATAATAATAATAATTATTGCGTGCTAAAATATACGTGGCGATAGAGTTTGTAAATTCGCGTTCGAGTGTTGTACGAGTATTCATCACACAAACATAAAAGAGAAATGAACACCAAAGTTTTTACGTGGAAAACCCGAAAGAGGGAAAAAAACCATGGGGCCTCACCCAGTTGTAAAGTTCCACTAGTATTTGTTTGAAGTACAAAAGTTGATCCGTCTAACAAATCAAGACGATCAGTTTACAATCAACTTCTAACAAAGTTACAAAGTTCTGCAAATTCCCGGCGTTTCCCGAAAATTCGGTAGAGTTTCGGCTTCTTCATGCGGCGGGAAGAGCTCCGGCGGTGGTCGAGGATGAGCTTCATCATTCTCCTCCTTCTTCTCTTCTTCTTCTCTCTCTTCACTTGAGTCCCCTTTGTGAAGAATGAAGGCTCTATTTATAGTTTTTTTGGAGTGGCATGGCTCGTAAATAGGTGTGAGATCTTGGGCGAATAGGGAGTGATTTGAATGGACGGCCGATATTGAACCCTTCGATCATACACCGTTCGTTAGACATTTGGAGGCTTTAATGACGTCGGAATTCGGCGATCTTCGGCTCGTTGGATTCTTCTCGTCGAGACGCTCGATTCAAGTATAAGCTCCTTAAAATCGGAGACCGTTTGGTAACTCAAATCGCGGTTTGAACCTTCCAACAACGCTTCAGGTCCTTGATTCAGACTCATTTGGGCTCGGATTGGGTTGAACTTGGTGTCTTTGGGTTTGTATTTTCGAGACGCTCAGCTTGACTGTAAGCTCGCTGAAATCGGAGTTCGGGAGCTTCCAAATTTAATTTTTAAAGTTTCCAACCACCCTTTGCCTCGAAATTCGTGCCCGATCAAGCTAATTTTGTGATGCCGAATCAATAATAATAATTAAAAATTTGTACATTCTAATTTCATGACAGTTGAGTAGAGGGGTCAAATGATTATTTGATTTTTTTGTCATCTAAACCCTAAAATGGAAAAGTTTATTTAAATGAAATTTGTCTCTTTTAATAGATTTTAGTCTTTTCGTTTTAGTCTGGGTGAAGTTTGTCTTCTCTAATCGGTATTAAAGCTAAAATATAAGAATAATTTCTTCCTCATAGTTGAAAATCAAAAGACTATTTTCCTTTAGAGATTACAAAATTAAGGTGTTCGTAGATATGAAGTTAGTACCCAAAAATATGGTTAGATTTAGAAACTTCTGGAGATGATGAATGTGATTGTTGGTAGTGTTCATCGATAGTGACGACGGTTGGGGATGGTCTTTGATGATCGATCATAGCTGGTGTTGGTTGTTGTGGTGATTGTTGGAAAATGCTAAATAGTTTTTTAATTTTAATAATGTCAGAATTAAGTGATCTTAGACTCGTTGGATTTTTCTTGTCAAACCATTCGATTCCACTATAAAAATATCAAATTTGGAGTTCATTTGATCATCCAATTAACTTTTGAAGTTTTTAATTATGTAGCAAATGTTGTCATGTTGATATGATCTCATTAGAGTTTAGACTACTTTTGATATCATTAGGTTTATTTTATCAAGACGTTCAGTTCAATTATAAATTTGTTGAAATCAAAGTTTAAATTATCTTGAATTTAATTTCGAAAATTTTTAATTTAAATTTTACCTCTAAAATCATGATCCAAAATTTTCATTTACATATAAATATAACACTCACATTTTCAATTTTTAGTTTTTTACAAGACATTTTTAAGCTACCGATGACAAAAAACCTGAAGTAATAAATTTTATTTCTTATTTAGGAGTTTATTGGGGCTGTAGCATCCAAATTTTTTAATAAATATTAAAAAAAATGAAAAAGAATAAGTCAAGAATAATAGAATTAGGTCTTTATCCCGCTGTGTGAGGCCGGTTATTTGAATCTTTTTTTTTTATTGTGTCATGTTAATAGTTAAATTCTAATTTAAATTTAAATATATTTTAAAAATAATGAAAGATATAATATGACAACAAATTTATAAAAAAATTTAATCGTATTTTTAAAATAATATTATTATATGAAAATTCATATAACAACTCAAAGTTCCATTTTCTAACTCAATCTGTAAATAAAACTTCAAAAATTATCAGAATATTCCTTAAAAATCTATTAAAATGAACTTTATAATTATTTAATTAATATTAATTTTAATATAATATAATATATCATATATAATATTAATTTTCATACAAATTAAATAATTTAAAATTAATTCTGATTTATTTAACATCCAAACAATTTTTTTTTTGTTTCTATGAATCTTCCTCTGTTCGTGCTGATTTCTCCAACCTGTTCTGCATTTTACAAATGGTTTCACGGAACTCAATATGTGAATCACATTGATTCTGTTGGACAAAATTACAATAAATTTCTTTTGTATTTATTATATCTGAATTCCTGTATTACCTTCTTCGTCTTCTTCTTCCCTTGTGCTGTAATTCCGACAAATGGCTTCTCTGTGCATGAAGTGTGAACTATTAACCGGCTCCACGATGCCGGCTTCTTCTTCTCTGCGGAGTCTCCAATGCTGCGTCATGTCTGCAATACAATCTCAAAGAGATCGGATTCCCCATCGAGAACATCGTCGGAGTTCTCACCGCTCTTCTTACTGCTCATGCTGCTATTCTGGTTCTTCCTTCTTCCGCCATGACCGGTCCACTCTGTTTCTATCCGTGCCACAGAGAAAAGCTCCCGGCTGTCGACCACAGACCCTATCCTATGATCTCCGCCTTCATCGCCGGAATGCTGCCGGAGAAAACACGGGTTCGGCGTCCGCGTGGCGTTCGCCGGCCCGTACTTGAACGGCGCTTGTCCCAAATTTACAAGCAACACGGTCTCCACGTTGGCCGCCATAAAAGGAAACAGAGGACTGGTATAGGCCTCTGAGTTGCATCGTACGACATGCGATACCTGAGAGTCCACGGTGAAGAACACCTTATTCTTGCTCGGCTCGAATCCGCAGCCAATCACTCTGTTCACAGCTGCCCATTCTGCCATCTCCGACTCGAAAACCAGTTTTCTCTCTGTAATTAGCGTCATCAGATAAACAAAATTGATAAATTTGTCGCCTTTCCTCGTCGACAATCATGAAAAGATTGAAATTTGGAGGTGTTTGGGGAATAATTTACCATCAAGATAAAGAGAGCCGTCTGAGTGGAACCCAATTGATCCACGATAAGTTCCTGGCATAGAATGGATTGGCAGGGTGGCACTGCTGGTTAGCCCCAAGGCGATGGTGTTGCGGTCTGATTTTCTTTCATCTGCTACAAAATTTGGGTTTAGGGGAGCAGAGCTAACGCCGAAGGAATTATCTCTGATTAGTTTGGCTCGATCGCTGTCTCGATTGTTTGCGCTGTTGCAAGAGCTTAAAAATGGATGCTTGAGGGAGACGATGGTGATTTCAAAATAGGCTTCTTGAGGAAATGAACCGCCGCCCAAGGGCGGGCCTGGAAGTGGGAGGCTTGTTCTAACCCAAGAAAAGGAAGCCTCGTCGGCGGTTTTTTTGGGACTTGGATTAAGCCTGACGGATTGCATGAGCTCCGACGAACCAGCGGGGATCTCCCAGCCGCTTTCCGGCGAGTTCGGCTGGGTTCCGCCGTCGCATGTGGCACAGAGAGTCCAAAGTGGGGCTGAAGATGGCATGCGAGGGATCGAGTTAGAAAAGGCAAAGCTTTGCCAGCCGTTCTCTGCGGCCTCGGCGATGAGGCGGGGATGGTTGTCCCAGCGGAAGGTGGTCTCCGTCGGCGGCGGAGGGGCTGTAGACTGGTTGTGGAGATGGTGGAAGCGTAGGCTGTTGCGGGCGGAGCTGCCGGATTTGTACGGGATGGGGAGCTTGTTAATGTTGGATTGGAGCGCGTCAAATTTGGATTTGGCAGCTGGCTCAGAGAAGTGGGTGATGGCTTGGGGGCTGATGAGCAGCTGTTGTCGGCGGCGGCGGCGGCATATGAAAAGGAGGAGGGTGAGGACGACCGTAGCGGCGGGGACCGTGCCGGAGATTATTTTGATCCATAGTTTCATCTCTGTGACTGTGAGAGGGATTTCAATCTTCGTAAATGCTCCGATCCTGCTTTGGCTTTTTGTTTGTACTTAGAGGAAGGAGGAATGCCGGAGGAGCCCACGGATCAAAGCAAGAGGAAACAGTAAAGAGCGCATTTGAGGAGAGAGAGCTGAAATTCTACGTGTCTAAGTGTGGTTCATCACACTTTCTGTATGACATTTCTTTTCAATTTAACTTTTTGTTTTTGTTTTTTTTTATAATATTAAAAGTAATTTTAAGAAAATATGAGTGAGAACGACTCACAATTTTTCTCTCCGGATTAATTTTGCTTTTATTAAATTAGCTTTGAATTGATTAAACTGTCTAAGGAAATAAATCTATTCACATAATTTTTTTCAATTATTTCAAATTTAATCTAAACAATCTTAATTCGGCTCCAAAAAAAAAAATTTGTATGCACCAATCTTAAAGATAATATTTAATTTTAGGGTCATTTAAAAGGATCAAATATTCTTCAATTTTTACATATTTAGAATTAAATGAAGCAGCTTGATTAGTCAAATCCAATAAACCTAAGATTATTTTATTCTTACATCATTAAGGTATTACATGTAAGATACTCCGTTTTGCTCTAGGATTTAGGGCGATCCTGGCGGCCGCCTCTGCTCGGTGTGCTCCGTTCGTTCTTCGTGCGCTAGGGAAGTTTCTTCTTCATTTTGCTTTTGCGTTTTTGTTTTGATGGCTTCTACTCGTCTTCGTGATACTGGTTTTTTACCCGGCTCTTCGCCTCTCTCATTTAAAGAGGCGCTCTCTGGTTCTTCCTCTGTTTCTGTGGTTTTTCCCGAGCTTAAAGTTTCATCGTTTAGAGGCATGCCTTCCTTGTGGATTTCGGAGATGGAAATCAAATCCCTAGCTGCCCCGTTTGAGTTTTCCCTTGTAGGAAAATTCCCTGCGCGTCGGCCCTCGTTGGATGCTATTAGGAATTTTTTCTTTAATCTCAAACTGAATGGGGAGGTTTCTGTCACTGTTCTTAATCAACGGAATGTCTTGATTAAGCTTTTCAATGATTTGGATTATTGTAGGGTTTTTGCTCATAGATCTTATTTCGTTAACATCTGTTTCATGAAATTGATTAAGTGGTCTCCTACATTAGATGTGGAAACTGAATCCCCTGTTGTCCCCATCTAGATTTCTTTTCCAAACCTTAGGCCTCATCTGTATGCTTCGCGAATTCTTCATGGATTGGGAAGGATTTTTGGAAAACCATTAAAAACTGATAACACTACATCTACTGGTTCGCATCCTTCTGTTGCGAGAGTGTTGGTTGAAATTGATGTATCCAAAAAATTTCCTGATAAAATTTGGGTTGGACCAGAAAATTCAGGTTATGTTCAATATTTGGTTTTTTAAGATTTTCAGGATTATTGTGTGCACTGTTCTTCTTTGGGGCATTCTAAAGCCGGTTGCACAATTCTTCACCCTAATCTTGTCCCTTCTTCTTCATTAGGGGGGGAGGTAGTTCGGGTGCTTAAGTTTTTCCTGTTGTTGATGGCTTAAATGTGGTCGAAAACGTTGTTGCTCCTTCAAATACTGTGGTTTTACCTGTTTGTGATGGTTTATCCCCAATTTTCTCTCCTGAGGTTGGAATTGTTTCGGGTCCCTTAACTGATCCTGTTAGTGTTAATTTAAGTGATATTTTGGAAAGATGCCCTGTTGTGGCTGTGAATGAAGAGTTGGTTGTTTCGCCTATTTTGGGTGTTGTGGATACGGTTGTGATTGATGATTCGGCTGACATGTCACTTATTTTGGGTGTGGTCGAGACGGGAGGCTGGAGGTGTTATTCCTGTGGCCGAGGCTTCGTGTAATCCTACTGTGATTGTGGACTGTAACGTTGAGTGTATGCAGGTGGAGACTTTAAATGGTAACTTGGTGAGTTCTAATACCCTTGTTGATGTCCCGGTTACTTTAGTCGAAACGCATACTATGGCCAATCGTTTGGGTGATATTTCTGGTTTGGATATTAGGAACCATGTTGACTGGTTGCATGGTTCGTCGGACTGTGAATCTGAATCCGAATTTTCAGATTGTGGTTTGGCTTCTCCGGACTTTTGTGGGGGTTCTGACCATGGTAATGATTTTACTCTGGTTCGTGCTAGACCTGCTTTATCTGTTGCCTCTCGGGGGAGATTTCGTGGGAGAGGCCGGCGTAGAAGATAATGTATCAGTGTTCTGTTTTTTTCCCTGTTCTCTTTTAGGGATTGCTGTGCTTTAATGAAGTTTGTTTTGCTGGTGCGCTGAGTTAAGGGCAATGATGTGGCTGGGGCTCGCGTCCTTGTCGTTTTGCTGGTGGCAACCTTTGGTGTGCTTTTTTTTTCGGGTCGGTTGGTTGTTGGACGCTGTCTCCACCTTACTGGATGGTCCGTGCGAGGCTTCGGGAACGCTGGAAGCCTCGACCTTTTACTGAGCCCGCTTTTTGGTTGTATTTTTCCTTTGTCTCTTTTATTTCCTTTTATATTAATGTTGTAACCGTTGTTTTTTTAATATTAATATATCTATTTTTTGTCAAAAAAAAAAAAAGGTATTACAATGCTAAAAAAATAAATTAATTAATTAAGATATTCCAATGCTAGACAAGCATTTATGATTAAAGTGCTCAATATGAATCATTTGATGAAATGTCTTGAAATTTGGTCAAATTTATTAAAATATCTCTCTCAATGATACAATAAATAGGTCCTTTTTTTATAAGAGAGGATGTTTGAGAGCTTCGAGAGTGGAAGTACTCTATTATATTTTCAGGCAATCATCATCGAGAACCATCACCAATACATATGCGCCGGTCCAACCATATTTCTATGATCCGATAATTGTCGCTTAAATGTTATTATCTAGCCATATTATTAGACTTTAAATGTTTGCATATAAACATTCAATTTCTTTAATATTTACAACGAACCAGATAATTATTCTTAATTATATATAATCTCAACTTGTTCAATTATGAGTAACTGATATTTCTCTCTTCTATTTTTCAACGACTTTCCAACTAAGTTAAGCCTCATGATATTTCTCATTCTTAAATTTCCTATGTAAAAAAATTCTAATATGGCTTATGTGAATTGCTATCTTTATATAGCAATAATGGATTTTAATATAAAATAAAGATATTAATAAAATAGCTTAAAATTTTTCTTACATGTAACCTTTATAAACTCATGTTGATAGAAAAAAAAAAAAAAACATTAAACTCTCGACTCAATTTCGTGGATAATCCTATTCACTCATAGTCTTCATTTAGACAGCTTATTATTATCAAATTTTTTTTACCAGAAAATCGTTTTTAGAAAGAAATTGAAAAGATTTCCCAAACTAAGCCTTAATCCTCAATATTTACTTTTTTTTTTAAATATATAGATTTGTTTTAAAAGAACTATTATATAAATTTATTCTCTAATAAAATAATATATATATATATATTAATATATATATATATATATATATATATATATACATATTCTAAAAAATATATTCAGTAATAAGAAAAATGAAAAATAATTTTCTTAGAATTATATATTATATGACTTTTGTGAAAAGAAATTTTTTTAAATTTTATCTTTCTTGATCAATAAGTTATATGCTAATTAGATTTAAAGTTTATTTTATAATTGTATGATAGTCATAGTAATGTTTATTCAGATCATTTAATCAAACTTTTTATCAAATAAACACCTTTTTATGGCATTTAAATATCAATCTTCCCATAATTCCTACCAAATATTCATTTAAATCACACATTACATTTATTTAAAAATAAATCTAATATATTTGAAATATATTTTGATAAAAAATTTAATTTAATTAAAATATTTTGTGCATCTTTGGTACAATTGTAGAATTTTCTAAAGGTGTGTGAGTCTATTGTTAGGAAAATAATTTTTTTGAAAGTTATTGTGGATATTATAAATATAATATTCTTTAAAAAAATAAAGAATTGCTTTCTCAAAGCTATCACACATTTTATAATTTTAGTCATAAATAGTAACTTCTCACTATAAAATTTTTTAGAAATCAATAACCAAATGAAATTTTAGTTGTAGTATAAAAACTGAGGTTTTGTTTGGGACGACTTTCTTGCTGCTTCTTAAATAAACTTTTTTTGTAAAATTAAATTTTTTTGTATTAAAAAAATATTTTAAGAAACAGTAAGAAAATTTTTTGTATTAAAAAACTGTTTTAATAAGCATTAAGAAAGTCGTCCCAAATGAAACCTAAAACTTTATTTTGGATGACTTTTTGATTGCTTCTTAAAGTAGCTTTTTAGTAAAAAAATTTTAATATTGTATTAGAAAGCTCTTTTAAGAAGCAATAAGAAGCTGTTCCAAATGAAGCCTAAGTAGTGAGGAATTTATCCCAATTAAGTTTAGTTTGGAACAGCTTTTTGCTACTTTATAAACTACTTTTTAGTACATATATTTTTAATTCAAGAAATTTTTTTACAAGCAAATTGTTTTAAAAAGCATCAAAGAAGCTGCCCCAAACGAAGCCAAAATCTTTTTTTTTTTCCCTCAACTCCTTGCATGCACTCCAAGGTGACCAACCACAACTTCTACAATGACAGATGTTGATGCCATTAGGCTAACTTATATATATAATAACAAAACTTAATAAAATATAATAATGGCAAATGGAGCTTTGATATGTAAGATGCATGACGCACGGCCTAAGTGAGCCGTATCAGGTCACAAGGTGGTGGAGCAGGTCATTCAACACGAGTAAAGGAACGGTATGACTTGTTCAAGGCTTTAAATGTTTAAGCTAATGGGCATTGATTCTTTGATCTTTTGGAATTTCCTCTGACAAAATACAAAGGAGATAGATATATTTGAAGCCACGCGAGCTCCTTTCTAAGCAGTAAGCATGGTGGAAAGGAAAAATATTGGATCCGATCTTTTAATTAAATGGTGAACTCGATGTTGAGAAGCAAATTAAGAACAAAACAAACAAGAAAAAGAAAAGGTACCAAAGTGGAAAGAACATCTGGATTTAACCCCAAAAAAACTCCAAATCAGGAGAAAATCATGTATCCGCATCACATTAAGAAATCCAATATGTAAAATAAGAGAAATTGTATAGATCTTTACTCTAACATTCTTTTCTTTACTTCACACTCACTTTTACTGTCTC